CGAAACTGCGGGTCGCCGGTGCGCGCGACTTTATCGATTGCGAGCCGCCCTCAGCCTCTGCCAATGTGGGTAGGCGAGATCTATTCGGGAATCAGGGCAAAGACAGGTCCCCGTGCTGCAACGTCGATGTCGCTATATGCGATATGACGAGCGGGCGGTCCACCACGCTGTGGAACATGGAAAAAATTCAGAATTACCGGTACGAGCGGAAGCGGCACAGGATTCCTCCTGTCAGTCTCCATGCATGTTGGGGCCGCCGTCGCCGTTTCGTGCTTTTTGCAGCGGGTCGGCCTGGCATATCCACAGCCCTCGTATTTTTCATCAGGTATTTCCCTAGCGCTCGCGACTCAACGAGATGCGGGAGGAGAGGTGTAGGGAGTCAGCATAGCGTCGGGAGAGGGCATGGGAATAGGGATACGGCCACATGGCTTTCTTTTACGACAGCTACCAGCCATAGCACAGTGTGACAGACAGCCTCTACCGCGAGGCTCTGGGGCCGCTGCTGGGGATTACGAGACGGCATGAGGTGCGTGGTGCCATAATTGGTCGGAGATGGCTTTAGAACAGCGAGCGATGCCGACCCCTGAACGCCCGGAATCCACGCGAAGCTGGAGGATCTCTTGGCAATAGAAGGCGGCCAGCAGCGGTGCATTACAGGCGAATTTCCAAGAGCGACGATGCCACCTCATGCGACGATGGCTACGCCCGGCGGAATCAGGTAGAACCTACCATGACTACAAAATTACTACACCACTGCATGCCCAGCGTGCAGACCACGGCTCTCGAGGGCCCCAAACACACGGCCCCAAACAGGTAGGATGTGCCTCTGTGTGTGATGAGGATGCGAAACAGAGAGGAACACTTTGCCTGCAAGCTTCAGACAGCTAACGGTAGACGGCGCATGGGGGCGCCCAAAATAACTGCGAGGCTGCAGGCATAGGGCCGCCGGCGCGTGGTTTGGCACGGGTCGGGGCCACTGAGACCAGGCGTAGGCCTGCTCGCAACTCGTTTTCGAGCTCCAAGCGCGGGCAGCTTGCCAAATCTAGTTGGCATGCCCCTGTGACGATCGTGCATCTCGACTGCTGCCCAGAGGATCCAGCACACTTCGGGTGAAGGCCATGTGGACCGAGCGCGCCCGCTTTTCGTGCTTGTAAACCAGCTCGATCCCCTCGTAGAGACTTCCTTCCTCCTCAAGGCGCTCCTCCCATACGACTCCGGACTGCCCTTGCGAGCGGTATCTTGTTAATGACCTTGGTCTAAGCCCTTCTTGTCCTTCCCACCCTTACACTCGTTTATTGGGCCGCGAAGACTTACCATCCGCTTACACCACTACAACTACTACCGCCAAACACCAATACCTGTATCCTAGTAGTTTTCTCAGCTCTGCGACAGTCTTGGATCAGCAATTCGCCTCTACGTCAATTATCTAGCCCCGTGCCACTGTTGGGTTACGAGCCTTTGTTACCCAGGGCCCCTCCCATACCTCAGCCACGGGCCGTGCTTCTCCAACTCACCGCGTCTGCGTCACCCATTTGGTCGCCTTACATATAGGGTCGACGGCTGTCCGAAACCCAGACAGCATCGCTCGCTATCCGCTTAACGACAACAACGAATATACATACTTAATACTTCGCCATGGTTTGGCAAGACATGATGGGCCTCGCCGCCCGCGCGGTCTTTGCCCGCGAAATCGACCACTCTACCCCAGACATTGACGACCCTTGGCCAGCTAAGGATGTGAGTACAGCCATATTCGACTGTGGCTACAGAAACTGACTGCAGTAGATTGCCTACGTTGCCATCATCGGTGGTCTCATGTTGGCTGCCCTGCTTGAGTGGTTCCTCTGGGTCGCTGCTTTCCTGTACTGCATTGTCAAGGTCTTCCAGAAGGCCGAGACAATCAGTGTCCGCATTCTGTCCATCTTCTTCGGTATCCTCTTCTTCGCTCTCCGGTAAGCATTTGAACTCCGCTCACCATGCGAATCAAGTCTGACAGAAACAGTGCCATCTTCTTGCCTATCATGGTCGTTACCCTCCCCCTCCCGTCGCAAGTTACCAAGTACTTCCCCCAGGAGATGGTTGGCTTCCTCCAGTGGTTCGCCTTCTGGTCGTTTGCCGGTCTTTTGACCGTCCCGTGGTTGTTCTGTGTCTACCAGCTTGTCACCCACTCCGTTGGTCGCAGCCGCAGGATTAAATCCGTCCTCGACGAGGCATCCGCCCCCAAGGTCGTCATCATCATGCCCTGCTACAAGGAGATTCCTGAGATTCTTCTCCGAACTTGCGACTCCCTGGTCGACTGCGAATACCCGCCCTCGTGCCTGCACATCTTCCTCTCCTTTGACGGAGACCAGGAGGACGAGCTCTACCTCAACACCATCGAGAAACTCGGTGTCCCGCTCACGCTCGACACGTACCCCAAGTCCATCGATGTCATCTACCGTAGCTGCCGCATTACCATCTCCCGCTTCCCCCACGGTGGTAAGCGTCACTGCCAGAAGAGGACTTTCAAGCTCATCGACAAGATCTACTCCGAGTACCTCAAGCGCAACGACAACCTGTTCGTCCTCTTCATCGACTCCGACTGCATTCTCGACAAGACCTGCATTCAGAACTTCATGTACGAGATGGAACTCAAGCCCGGCAGCAAGAAGAACATGTTGGCTCAAACTGGTGTCATTACCTCCACAACCGAGAAGAACTCGCTCATCACCCTTCTTCAGGACATGGAATACGTTCACGGTCAGCTCTTCGAGCGTTCAGTCGAGTCCGGCTGCGGTGCCGTCACTTGCTTGCCTGGTGCCCTTACTATGCTTCGATTCTCCGCTTTCCGCAGGATGGCCAAGTACTACTTCGCTGACAAGGCCGAGCAATGCGACGACCTCTTCGACTACGGCAAGTGCCATCTTGGTGAGGACCGTTGGCTCACTCACTTGTTCATGATTGGCGCCAAGGAACGTTACCAGATCCAGATGAACACCGGAGCATTCTGCAAGACCGAAGCTGTGCAAACCTACCAGTCTCTGCTCAAGCAACGTCGCCGCTGGTTCTTGGGTTTTATCACCAACGAAGTTTGCATGTTGACTGACATCCGTCTCTGGAAGCGCTACCCGATCCTCCTCATCGTCCGCTTCATGCAGAACACCATCCGAACCACCGCCCTGCTCTTCTTCATCCTGTGTATCTCTTTGATCACTACCTCGCAAAAGGTTGCCAACCTTCCCGTTGGTTTCATCGCCATCTCTCTGGGGCTTAACTGGCTTCTCATGTTGTACTTTGGCGCCAAGCTCGGTCGCTACAAGATCATGCTGTACCCCCTCATGTTCATCGTCAACCCCTTCTTCAACTGGGTCTACATGGTTTACGGTATCTTCACCGCCGGTCAGCGTACATGGGGTGGACCTCGTGCCGATGCTGGTAGCGCCGACACCAAAACCACTCCCCAGGAGGCTATTGAGGCCGCCGAGGCTACTGGTGACGATCTGAACGTTGTTCCCGAGACTTTCAAGGCTGCTGCCGAGGCGCAGAAGCACCGCCCAGCCGCTATCCCCCTTCAGCCCGGCGACAACATCGACGGACGCTTCGCCGCTGCAGAACGCCTGCCCAACGGATGGTACCAACAAGGCAACGACTCTGGTCTCACGCTTCCCAACACAATGCCCCGCAACCCCAACGTCCCTCACGTGCCTCTCCACCCCCGTTCTTCCATGGACTCCTTCGCTTCGCAAGAGACCTCCGCCGCCAACTCCATCTACATGCCCCGTCGTGTCGAGAGTTTCATGGACCCCGAGGATGCGCGTATCTACCACAAGACTCAGCAAACACAAAAGCCTGCTGGAGGAGCCTTCTACGAAGAGCCACGAGGAGGACCCTACGAGGTCGGCCAGGGTGCTAGCAAGGGCATGTACAGCGAATCTGTCGACTCCATCGACGACGACTCGGTATACCAGTCCAAGGGCCCGCAACGACCTGCTCAGATGCGTACCAACAGCGATCTCGCCCATGCCCCAGCCCGCACATCGCCGCTGTCCAACGAGCAGAAGGGCCATGGTCTCGAGTCGCCCAAGCCTTCCTACAGCAGGACCAACAGCTCAGACCAGCGCCAGGGACGCAGCCCTCTTGCTCAGCAATACGTTCACACCGCACCTGGTGAGGATTATGAGCTACAGGCCCCACAGCAAAGCAGCCTGATGCGTGATGTATCACCTGCGCCGCTAGGCCAACCTACGATGCCTGCATCAAACCACGGACGAAGCGACTCAAGCGACTCCAAGAAGCGGAAGCGCCTCAGCAAGCAGCCCCGCAAGTAAACACCTCTTTCCGCATGATCTAGCATCTTGATCTTTCTTCCATCTTCCGCCTAGAAGGCTGCATCAAACGACATACCAGCATTAACCTTTTCTTTTATCATCAAACTACTTGTGTGCGCATTGGATGTCCCGGCGTTTTCAGCGAGCACCGCAACACACCGCGAGTGATTCCTTCTTCTCGCAAAAACTCATTTCCTTACTGTACATATATTACATCATTACATGACGGCGGGGTGTGTGTGTGGCTTTTGGATATAAAAACTACGCGTTCATGACTTGGTTCGCTCCTTCGGATGGCTCTTGGGGTATATATGTTGTAGGAGCTATGTGATGGATCATACAAACATCACTCTTTTTCTTGCTTAATGTCTAGAAGTAACGTCGCTGTCTGGGACGTTGAATGAAATGGTCTTACTGCCAACTCAAAATTGCGCTTGCTTTGTAATGTCGTGATGATTGTGCTCCAGAAGGTTTCGGCTTAACATTGGCTTACACATAGCACCGCCTAGCAGCAAACCAACTATATTGCACATATTTCCTGCAAGGCCAGGATAACCCATGCGTTGCTAGTTGAAAGCAAGCCAGTCATTGCAAAATTGAATTGTCTGTGCTATGTAATGTGATCAATATAAACCCGCCGAAAGTATACTCGTCACTCATCTTACACACGACCACGATAACACCAACAAAGCCCTACCGATACAACAACCCCTCCACCTCCTCCGCAACCGCCAAACTACTAGTCAACCCAGGACTCTCCATGGCCAACAAATTCACAAACCCCTCATACCCCTCCTCCTTCTGAATCACAAAATCCTGAAAGTCCTTCCCGCTCGTCGCCGCCAACTTGCCCAACTTAGGTCGTATACCCACGTAATCCGGTTGAATAGCGTTTCTATCCACGCCTGGCAGATACGTCTGGATATCATCGATAGCCTGCTTCATGTTTTTGGTGTTGGGCGTGTAGTCTGTAGGTGAGTCCGTCCACTCGACATCCGGTCCGAAGCGGATTCGCCCGGACATGTCGAGCGTGAGATGCGTTCCTAGACCGCCGTGGCCGGGTACAGGAGCCGGGTAGACGAGCGTGGAGGGTTTAGGCCGAGAGACGGCGTAGCTGAAATAAGAGCCTTTTGCGTAGAAAGCTTTTCTGTGCCGTTCTTTGGGTAGAATCATGTTTTGGATGTCGACGGCGAAGAGACCCGCCGAGTTTACCAACGTGTCGGCTGTGATACTGCTTTCCTCGCCGTCCGCTCCCGTCGTTGTGATTTCCCATCCGCTGCGCCCGGAATCGATGGGGCGGATGTGTGTGACTGTGGATTTGAAGGCGCAGATGCCGCCGCCGTTTTCGAAGGAGCCTTGCAGGTATTGCATCAGGCTGTGCGAATCTACGATGCCTGTGCTGGGGCTTTCCAAGACGCCGGCTTCAGTCCGCACATCTGGTTCGCGGCGGTGGGCTTCTTCTTTGCTGAGGAAATGGATGGGTACGTTTATGCTTTTGGCGAAGTCGTGGACTTTTTGGAGGGCGTCCATTTGTGCGGCGTCTTGGGCGACGATCCATTTTCCGGTGTTGCGGTGGGGGATGTCGTGTTGTTTACATAGCGAGTATAGCATGTCTTTTCCTCGGAGGCAGAGTTTGGTTTTCAGAGATGTGGGTCCGTAGTAGAGGCCTGCATGTATGACTTCGCTGTTTCGCGAACTTGTTTCTGTGCCGACGTGGCCGTGCTTTTCTATTAGGACCGTGGAGGCGGAGTCGCGTTGTTGGAGTTTGCGGGCTATGGATAGGCCTATCACTCCGCCGCCTATAACGGCGTGCGTGAAGTCGGCATGTCTTGGTATACTTGAGGAGAAGTTTCTTGAGTTTGATGTGATTGATTTGAATTGCGGAGTTGTTCGAGAGAGGATGCGCAATGAGGCCATGATGGAAATTGGGGAATTAATGTCTAAAATCAGCGCAACGTGCTACAGAACAGACATCGACGAGTAAACAAGACGAAGCAGAACCTGATCGCAGCGGAATATAGACTCGGGGTTATCGACAGTCTTGACAAGTGATGCTTATCGGTGGCTTGGATCCATTTTGGATGACGTTACGTGAAATGCCGTTCCTGACGCTAAACAGAGTGGGGTCTCTCATTTACTACTTCAATTGCCATTACAAGATGCGACGATTGCATACAGCATCTCAAACTATAAACTAGGTTACTTGACTCAAAAAGTACAATTCCTTGTGCGGTCGTGGTTTCTTCGCCAACAGACATCTCGTGGTACCTCATTCCTCCACCTAGATAACGTCATCGGCACCCCAACCTCCAAACCCCCGACATCGCAACCAGGCCAATGTTCACAACCCTCACTCGACGAACAATATCACGTCCCCCAACCACCCTCATCCCCAAAAGAGCATTCCACAGCACCCCTTCCAACCTCGCCTCGCCGCTCGTCGACCGCGTAAACGCCGTCACAATGGCCTCCTCAACCGGCACCCCCAAAGTGACCTCCCTAGTCGACCTCCCCTCCTCAGAAGCCAAATGGGTAAAACTACAAAAAGCCACCTACATCGACGCCAAAGGCAAAGAACGCATCTGGGAGATCGCCTCGAGGAAAACAACCGGCACCGCCGGCGTCGACGCCGTCGCAATGGGCAACATAATCTACCACCCCACCAAGCCCCCCTCCACAATCGTCGTAATCCAATTCCGGCCCCCAGTCAACAGCTTCACAGTAGAATGGCCCGCCGGTCTAATCGACGCCTCCGAAACCCCCGAGGAAGCCGCCGTACGCGAACTCTACGAGGAAACGGGGTACGCAGGAACCGTCGTTTCCACTTCACCCGCCGTAGCAGCGGATCCGGGGATGACGAGTGCGAATCTGTGTTTGTGCATGGTGGAGATCCATTTGAAGGAGGGGGATCCGGAGCCGGAACAGCATCTTGACGAGGGGGAGGATATCCAGAGGGTGAATATTCCGATTAGTGAGTTGTATGCGAGGTTGGAGGAGTTTGCGAAGGAGGGGTATGTTATTGCGGCGAAGTTGTATCATTGGGCGGCGGGTGCGCAGTATGCGATTGATCATCCCGAGTTGTTTGCGAAGGTAAATAAGAAGGAGGAGTGAGATGGCGAGTGGGGAGAGGGGAGGATGGAGATTGACTTCTATGTAGTTGATGTCAGAGGATCGTGCGGATGGTTGCATGGCCTTTTGGTAGAAGTCAACATCATGGCATAACTGGTCTGTTGAGATTATAGATGTTGCCGCATCATGATGGCACTTTACAGTATTCAAAGAGCTTCAACATCATGTTCCAAAATCTCATTGCTGATGGACCAGCTCTAACAATACCCTTAATATCTATATACACCCTCCCCCTCCCTTCAACCCCCCTACCCCGCCTTCTCATCATCAATCTGCCTCCTCAAATCCTCCAGCACCCCCTTCCTATTCTCCAAATGCCCCTGCAACCCCTCAACCTGTTCCCTCACCGTCTCAATCTCCTCCCTAATCCCGCCCAACCCCTTAACCGCACCCCCCTCATCATTATCCAACTCCTTGAGCACATTCCTCTTATAATCAAGCAGAAGCTCCAATTCACGCTTCACAAGCGCCGGCTTACTATCCTTACTCCTTCCATGCCGCCGATTCTCCGCCTCCTTCTCCACATCCGCAATCTTCTGTTCCAGCTCGCGCAGCTGCTTTTTCAAGCGCACTTCCTCCCAGTCTTCTGTTGTGCGGCCCCCGAAATCAGTGCCTTTGCCGCCGCGCGCGCCGTAGTTGGCTGCGCGGTCGCCGACGCCCAGGCGCGTGAGGTATGCGTCGCCGAATTTGGCTTTGCGGCCTGTGGCGGTGTTTTCGTCGCGGGTCGCGGCCCAGCGCGAGTTTGCGTTTGATTCAATGTCGTAGTCTATGTGCGCTTTTTCGAAACTGGCGCGTAGGCTTGGGGGCACGCTGCGGGGGACGCGGAAGCCTTCGCTGCGTTGGTTGAGGATGTGGAGGAAGGCGAGGGCGGCGTCTTTGCCGACGCTTTCTCGCGCTTTGGGGTTGACGAGGTTCCAGGCGAAGCGCACGTCTGAGTCGGGCACGTTGTCGAGGCTGTCGAAGAGGCCCGAGAGGCTGTCGAAGGTTATGTTGCCGTGGCCGTCGCGGTTGGCTGTGTAGATTTCTTCGTATTTCGCTTTGTCAGAGGGTGACATGTACCAGTCGAAGCCGTCGCGCAGACCGGGCGTGTCGTCATCGTCTTCGACGGTTTCGTAGGCGGGTTGCGAGCCGGAGAGGGCGCGTCCAGCTTGGACGAGGTGGGCTTTCGATTCGGGGACGAGCCAGTCGGGCAGCGCTTTTGGTACATCCATGGATATCTACGGCATGCTGGTCAATCCTGTGTCTCCTTCATCGCCCATGCAGACAGACATACCCCGTTGATCAGGTCAAAGATCAGGCGCATGGCGACACAGAACTCCTCAAAGTCGAGCTTGCCGTCATTGTCCACGTCGGCCAGATCCCACACTCTCTCTAGCTGGTCATCGCGCAAATGTGAGTTCTTGAGCACGGGTGCGGCTTGCGCGCCGTCTAGGTGGGTGCCGCCGCCGCTGAGCGAACTGAATATCTCCCAGTACTTTTCGATTTCGTCTTGCTCGATGCGGTTCGGCGCCATGATTGCGATCGGAATTGGCTTGTCTATACTGTGCGGCAGGGAAAGAGGCGACAGTTGTGTACGTCGTGTGAGATTCGGGGGTGCTGGTTGGGGAATGTCGGGATGGCGGAGCTCTGGCCGCACCTGCTGGGCTGGGGTACGTAGCTACCTGACGCTAGCCGTGCATCCACCGTCTGCGACTCCCATGCCTCACATGAATGCATTGTTCGCTGAGCTCTACTCTAACAACCAGATTTCTTCATACATCACTGCAAAAGGACAAGAGCAAGCTTTATGTTGTAATCTTCAATTCAGCTAAATAAATGCAACAACTCCGTATTACCACCACTTCAAAAGAGCGATGTAAGTACAACCCAGATTCCCAGACACCCGAGTTTTCCCATTTAATCGTGCGCCAGATGCAAAAGATACATGTTTTCTTCCAAAGGAAAGACGAAAATGGCGTTACTGCCGTGCAGACATGTACAAACAACATCGCTAAATGCAATCAATTCTCAATCTTCTCCTTCTTACATCATGTTGGCAAGCTCGTGGTCAATGGCTTGCGTGAGGAAGATCTTCCTCTCGCCAGTGAGCTGCATCTGCAGTCTTTGCTCCGCAAGTGCGATGATTTGCTTGCGCGTGACCTTGTCCAGGTCAGCGTCCTTGAGGCACGCTTGAACCGTCTCGATTATTTGGCCATCGGTTGGGCCGTTCATCATGCTCTGGAAGTTGGTTGTGCTGCCAGGCCGTGACATGCTGGCGCCATAGCTAAGAGGGCTGCGTCCACGAATTGGCGGTGTGGACGAGGCCATCAGGTTGTCTGAGCTCTGGAAGCCACCCATGCTCTGGCGTTGACCGTACGGTGAAGTGTTGTTGCCATTGTACATGTCACTCATGTTGCTCATCGACATGACGCGACTTTGGTGTGGGTTGTCTTGGTACCGCGACATGTTCGAGTATGTCGATTGACGGGTTTGCATGCCTTGGTATGGCCCAGGCGATTGCGGTGGCATGTGCGAAATGTGCTGCATGTTGGACATGACGGTCGAGGCAGGCTTGACAGACGAGTAGACGGATTGCATGTCGTTCATCTCGTATGCTTCGTCTTCGTACGCATTGAAGCCACCCTTCTCAGTGGTCATGCCTGGGAGACCGCGACGACCGGGAAGCTCATTGCGCTCGGCGTACTCGTCCCAGCGCATCATAGGAATGGACTTGGGGTCAAAGCCCTCATCATCCGTCGTGAGAACCTGCTTAGTGCCTTGCTCGCCGATGACGACACGGGTGTTACCCCACGAGAAGTCGTCCATGTACCAGAAAGAATACATCGGAAGTGCGAGTGAGTAGATAGGGAAGGCCAGGAGGTAGATGATCATCCATCCCACATGCTGCCATTGTCGCTTGATGATGAAGATGAACGCCTGAAGACCGTACACTGCCGCCAACATGATGATGGAGAACATGGGGAATTGACCCTTGCCAGTCGAGACGGTGTAGACGAGGTATACCAGGTATGCGCAGATGGAAGGCAGGACGAGAGTACCGAAGAGATCGATGAAGACGACGAATCGCATCGAAAAACAACAGAAACCACAGAGATCCTTCAGGAAGACGAGTTCGGCCAAGTTGTGAATGGTTGAGTTGATCCATCGACGTCTCTGGGAGAGCAGAATGCTCCACGTGTCAGGGGCGGCTGTGAGAGCGTACGCATCGGGAATGAACTTGTACGACATCGCGGGGAAATGCTTCGTCATCAGAGTCGTCAGGTATCGATCCTCACCGAGCGAGAGGAGGTTCTTCTTGTGCAGAGTGTCGACAACACAGTCGGCGTAGTCCTTGATAATCTTGTCCGAGATAATGAGAGGCTTGCCCTTGTCGGCTGTGCGTAGACGGTACATGGTGAAACTAGTACGAATTAGCACCATACAATACAGGTGAGGGTTGGGTACTTACCATCCGGGCAAACAGGTAACACTGCCGAACAAACTTTCAAAGGCCTTCGACAGGTGATGCGAAATGTAGTACTCGTAGACCTGGATCATAGTCCACCATGACCTGTCTTCATTCTCCAAGCTCGTCTCACCGCAGATACCGGCAATCTTCGAGTCATGGGCACATGCTGCTACAAGACGATTAAGGGCATCAGGCTTGACCATAGTGTCGGCGTCAATCATGAGCAAATACTCGTACAGTTCTGGGTCAACACCGATGATGTTGTTGACCTGGTGGAACATTTCCAACTCCAAGGGGTTCATTGCCGAGCGGTGGTGGACACGGTTGAGGAAGCTCATGAGCAGGATTTGAGAGTCACGCTTTCCTCGGTTACCCGGCTTAGACTTGTGCTGCTCTGACTCCTTACCCATCTTGACGACGACGAGGTAGGGTACAACATTGCCTTCGAATTCGTACAGACCAGAATAGACTTTTCCGTAGTTGAGCTGCTGGCTTCCCTCACCAACTGACCAGAAGGGGAGGGCAGGAGGGTCGACCTTGGGGTCAACACCGAGGATGTCGAGTACAATCTTGGGCGTAGGACGATCGTTACCGCCACCAACAATCATTCCGTCGCAAATGACACAGATGAGTTTTCGCTTGTTGTCGTAAGAGAGCGCAGTCAAAGAGTCCAAACTTTTTCGGAGCGAATCCTCACCCTCAGTGTAGGCTGGCACCTGACAGATGACAAACTTATCCTGGTTTGCCGGGCGTTTGCGAGAGCCTAGTTGAAGTGCAGCCAAGAACTTGATGACGATGACTGCACAGAGGATGATCGTGACAGCGAGTAGAATATAGTCGTTGACCTGGCACTTGGCTGTCTTCCGGAAGTCGACTTGGCCAACGTAGAACAAGTTGTCAAGACATTGCTTGTTGAATTGTTGCGCATTGTTGTTGAGGTTGTTGCTGAAGTCCTCCTTGAGGTTGGAACCGGCGTTGCTCTTGACCATATCAATCAGCTTGGGATCGAGGAAGTTGTACTGGTCCTGGTCCCGCATGTAGTCGATCGTGGCGAAGTAGTCTGTCAAGTCGTAGACCCTGTCGTCAAGCCTGAACCACATGTGATTCAGGTCTTCACCTTCATCTTTAATCGTCTTCTCTTCCCAGACGAGAGGTCCCTTTTTGAATTCCTTCATAGCGGGGAGAAAAACGTCAGGGTACCAGGTCTCGCTCTTCAGAGCGGCGCTGTCTGGCATGTTTGTCCTTGAGCCAGATCCGTGGACAGCGATTGCGTTGAGGTTCTCAGCGGTAGATTGGTTGAGTGTCAGCTGCAACACCCGGTTTTGAGGAGTGTCTTTGATCAGATTGGGGCAAGCGATGTATAGCGGAGGAACGACGTATGGGTCCATGTTGGCACCAGCCATTTCCATCATCCGATCGCGGGTAGCCTCGGTGTTAGAGTCACTGTGCTGCTTTTTCCAGAAGGAGGTTAAGTCGTATACGACACCACGATGGCTGACGTAGTAGTCGTCCTCACCTTGATGCTGTGACACTT